TTATTAGTGAGACTGATAAAATATACAGCCATTCAGAAGATGATTTTCCCGTATAGCACCTGCAGCTGTACTTTTGGCAGTACTTCATATTGCACTGATGAAACAATGGGGAAACAAATTCCTGGCACTGTCCAGTCAAAGTGAAGATTGGTGATCACATGGATACCTACTTTCCTGTTATGACATCATGAAAGGTCATCATCATTATCATTATCAGTAAATTTTTTGACATCATGTGCTTTCAAAGCAAGAAGTTTCTGGTATTAAAAATGTACCTTGTATATCAAGCTTTATGATAACTTGGAAAATTTTCACCCAGATATTACCGAATGCCAGACATCTCTGTACACCTGACGTGATCCCCCAACAGCCAGGATCTATACTAGCAGAGGGGCTGGCCTGTGCTGCTAAGAAAGTGGGCTATCAGGGAGCACACTTCTTTCAGTCTCTGCAGGTCTATGTGAAGAGTGGAGCACTATCAGGCACTCATTTACTGCCATCTTTAGAGGAACTCATCAAAGAAGCACCCTTTGACCTTCCCAACCTCCAAGATGTTGTATTATACTCGTGGCCAACACCAGCGTGACTTTTTACAACAAGGATTGCATAATGGCAAGACTCACATGCAGGTCCACATTTTATATCTTAGCCAGGTTGTACAGAAATCCTGCCTGATAGCATCCTACAGATCTGTCAGTGGCTAACGTCAGTCAGTTTGAAAAATAAATGAAATTTGAAATTTGGCTATTTTTTTTTCAACAAAATGCACTGGTGAGTCATGCTGTCTTCATATTTCACATATGTGGCTATCTGTCTTGCTGTATTTGAAATCCATTTTCCAGAATGTCAGTTTTCCCAAATACCTATGTGTAGAGCCAAGATGGAACCTTAAGGCAAATGGAGTGTATGTTGTTTCAGTGTGAGCCCTCCGGCTTTGGATTTGAAGCTGTGACATTTATTGTGCAAAAAGGAAATAGTTCTCTTACGATTCTTTTCAAGGAGAAATCTAACCTCCAAGCAGGTGAAGGAAATGCATTTGCTGGAAAATCAGAATGAGAGATGCAGGTTCATCAGCCTACTCATGCCAGTTTTTACTCTGAGGTAGAAAAGGCAATACACTCAATAGGACATATCTTTCCAAAGAGGGAAACCAAAGGTGTATCTCACAGTGCTGTTTCTTGAATGATGGGCCATTTGAAGGTCTTAACATCTCTTGATTTGAGAAGTATTAAATCTCAATGTATCTGGAGCAGTAAATCTTTACCTTGAGACCAGAGGACAGGAACTTGATTATTTTGTGACCAGAGAACAGGAATTTGATTACATTTATTCATTAGTTCTGCCCTTCTGGGGAATGCAGCACAAACCATCTGTACTGCTGCTAACTCTTTCCTGGACATCTTCTGCCACTATCTCAGGAAATGGATTTCTGCTGGACAGTCAATTAACTGGGGAGCCTTGACTCTTGAATTACTGCTAAACAAACACCATCTTCAAACTGTTTTAGCCATCAGAGGAATAATTTCTCTTCAAATAGCCCAAATCCATGAATATCCCTAAACATGCTTAATTCTGAATAATTCTCAACAATCTATAGTCAGATTTAATTTGGGTAAATACAGAAAAGCTTTCCCAAGTTCCATGACTTAGAATTCATTTCTCCAAAGAATCCAAGATGAATTCAGTTTTCTGGAAGATTCTTACATGGCTTTTACTTATTATTCATCTTGGATATCATCAGATGAGTACACCACTTCTTTAGCTAGTGAATTTGTGAATACAAACCTTAAAGACATTATGATGTTCACATTGGTTACATCATAAGCCATAGATTCTACGCCAACTATGACAACTCAGAGTAAGCTCTTTCATGATCTAAAGGTTCAAATTCCTCTAATCAGACTACTTGATATACACACAGCTCTGCAAACCTTAAAATTGTTTCTAACAGAACAATCGAATATTACCTGAGAGAGGAGAGGAGTGGTCACAGTCACACGAAACTTTAAAAAAAAATTCATGCCGTATGCTGAATCAGGATGGAAACAGGCACAAGATAATAAACAGGATGCAGTCCACCTTCTCTTAAACTTACCTGGAGTTGTATGTATTATGTTTATTGTTTTTTTCTGAAAAACTTGGACAACTTTTATCAATATTAAATCATCATTCTAAATTAACAATTTATTTGAATTTATGTATGTTAGTGAACATTCCCTATATTAACTGACTTTATTACACAAGGCTAACTAGAAAAAATTTAATTAAAATAAAAAATTAGTCTTCACTGATTAAAAAATAAGGCTTGTTCAGTTTATCACTCTCCCAATTAGTTTGGTCGTTATTGATTTTTTATCTGGGGAATCTGTTCAGAATTCCAGTGCAAATAAATACCTTTCCATTGTTTTGTGAGGTGATGAATATTACAGGTAATTTCTGTAATGGATATGTACTTTTTAATTTTCTTCCATGAGATGGGGGAATACTATCTTATATTTTAGTAGACATTTTGACTATTAGACAGGTGAAGCAGCTTTTCATTTATTTATACACAATTTGCTTTTTTCTTCTGTGTAATTTATCTTAATATTCTTTGCCCATTTTCTCACTGGGTTTTTCAAGTCCTTATTTGAATGAACTCTTCATATATTCTGAATAGTACCTTTTTGTTATATATATATAGCAAGCATTTTTCCAGTATTTCACTTATTTTTTAATATTGTTTATCAATACTTTGCTAAAAATGATTTCATCATTTTAGTAACATTTGTCCATCATTTACTTAAAAAATATTTGCATTTCATGTCAAGTGTAAAATGAATAATTTACAGGAACGTAAGAACTTATATTTTCTTGTAATACTGATTTTATTTTTCTATCAATGTCTTGATGTTATTTCAAATTTATGCTTTTGGTTTTTTCAAATTCTAAATAATATACAACTTTCTCAAAACAATTCTATTCTCTGCTGACTTCAACAGCTACATTTCTGATGACTTAAATTCTTGTATATAATGTAACTCATGTCTGATTGTCATGCTGAGGCCATGGATGTGTTTTGTAGCAGCACAGTAGTCTGGGATTATGATACTTCCTGATGTCCAGTGGGAGCTGACCTTCACTCACTATTGGAGAAAACAGTAGCTACTATTAGATGACATCTTTTCTCTATGAACTTTAAAATTGCTTTATCAATTCACACACACTAACATCTGAAATTTCCATCTTTGTAAAAAATTATATTGTTATTTCAATCGTTTTGGAGGGATTGGTGCTATCTGGTTACATGGATAAGTTCTTTAGGGTTGATTTCTGAGATATTGGTGTACCCATCACCCGAGCAGTGTACACTGCACCCATTGTTTAGTCTTTTATCTATCACCACCCTCACCCTTTCCCCTTGAGTCCTGAAAGTCTATTGTGTCTTTCTTGTGCCTTTGCATCCTCATAACTTAGCTCCCACTTATGAATGAGAACATAGGATGTTTGGCTTCCCATTGCTTAATTACTTCATTTATAATGATAGTCTCCAATCTCATCCAGGTTGCTATGAATGTCATTATTTCATACCTTTTTATGGCTGAGTACTATCCCATGGTATACCTATATACCACATTTTCTTTATCCACTTGATGATTGATGGGCATCTAGGCTGGTTCTATATTTCTCCAATTGTGAATTGTGCTTATATACACATGTGCATGCAAGTGTCTATTTGACTTCTTTTCCTCTGGATAGATACTCAGTAGTGGGATTGCTGGATCAAATGGTAGTTCTACTTTTAGTTATTTAAGGAATCTCTATAGTGTTTTCTATGGTGGCTGTCCTAGTTTACATTCTTACCAGCAGTGTAAATGTGTACCCTTTTTACCACATCCATTCCAGTATCTATTATTTTTTATTTTTTAATTATGCCCATTATTGTGGGAGTAAGGTGGTATCTCAGTGTGGTTGTGAATTTCATTTCCCTGACAATGATGTTGAGCATTTTTCATATGTTTGTTGGCCATTTATATATCTTCTTTTGAGTATTTTCTATTCATGTCCTCAGCCCACTTTTTGATGGCATTGTTTTTTTCTTGCTGATGTGTTTGAGTTCCTTAAAGATTCTGGATATTAGGTCCTTTGTTGGATGCATAGGTTGTTAATATTTTTCCCAACTCTGTGGGTTGCCTGCTTACTGTACTGAATGTTAATTTTGCTGTGCAGAACCTTTTTATTTTAATTAAGTCCCATTTATTTGTCTCTGTTTTTGTTGCATTTAGTCATAAACTCTGCCTAAGCCAATGTCTAGAAGAATTTTTCCAGTGTTCTATTCTAGAATTTTTATGGCTTTGGGAAGTAATTGGCTTTATTTCTGGATTCTGTATTGTAGTTCTATTCCTTCAGTCTACATGCCTGTTTTTATACCAATACCATGCTGTTTTGGTAACTATAACCTTGTAGTATGGTTTGAAGTTGGGTAATGTGATGCCTCCAGATTTGTTGTTTTTTCTTAGTCTGGTTTTAGTTATGTGGACTCATTTTTGGTTCTTTATGAATTTTAATACTTTTTTTAGTTCTATGAAGAATGATGATGGTATTTCGATGGGAATTTCATTAAGTTTATAAATGTTTTTTGGCAGTATAGTTATTTTTACAATATTGATTATATACATCCAAGGACATGGGATATGTTTCCATTTTTTGGTGTCATCTATAATTTCTTTTGGCAGTGTTTTGTAGTTTTCCTTGTAGAGGTCTTTCATCTTGGTTAGGTATAGTCCTATGTATTTTATTTATTATTATTATTATTGCAGCTGTTGTAAAAGAGATTGAGTTCTTTATTTGATTCTCAGCTTGGTCACTGTTGGTGTGGAGCAGTGATACTGATTTGTGTACACTTGTTTTGTATCCTGAAACTTTACTGTTTTCATTTATGATATCTAGGAGATGTTTGGATGAATCTTTAGGGTTTCTAGGTACATGATCATAGCATATATAGCAACAGTTTGACTTCCTCTTTACTGATATGGATGCCCTTTGTTTTTTTCTCTTGTCTGATTGCTCTGGCTAGGACTTCCAGTACTATGTTGAATAGAAGTGGTAAAAATTGGAATCATTGTCTTGCTCTAATTCTCAGGGGGAATGATTTCAACATTTCCCCACTCAGTACAATGTTGGCTGTGGGTTTTTCATAGATGGCATTTATTACCTTAAGGTAAGTCCCTTCTATACTGATTTTGCTAAGGTTTTTAATCATAAAGGTATGCTGTATTTTGTCAAATGCTTTTTCTGCCTCTATTGAGATGATCGTGTGATTTTTCTTCATGTGGTGTATCACAGTTTTTGACCTGCATAAGGTAAACCAATCCTGCATCACTGATATGAAACCCACTTGATCATGGTGTATTATCTCTTTGATATGCTGATGGATTCAGTTAGCTAGTATTTTGTTGAGGATTTCTGCATCTATATTAATCAGGGATATCAGTCTGTAGTTTCCTTTTTTGGTATGTCTTTTCCTGTTTTTGGTATTATGGTGATGGTAGCCTCATAGAATAATTTAGGGAGGAGTCCCTCTTTATCTTTTGGAATACTTTCAGTAGGTTTAGTACCTGTTCTTCTTTGAATGTCTGATAGATTTCAACTGTGAATCCATTTGGTCCTGGACGTTTTTTGTTGGCAATTTTAAAATTTCTGTTTCAATCTCACCACTTGTTATTGGTCTGTTCAGAGTTTTTATTTCCTCCTGGTTTAATCTAGGAGTGTTGTATATTTCCAGGAATTTATGCATCTCCTGTAGGTTCTCTAGTTTGTGTGCATAAAGGTGTTCATAGTAGCTTTGAGTGATTTCTGTTATTGGTCATAAATCTTTCATTTCTTTTCTAATTGAGCTTATCTTCTTCCTTCTTTTCTTTGTTATGCTCACTAATGGTCTATTGAGTTTGTTTATCTTTTCAAATAACCAGTTTTTGTTTCATCTGTTTTTTTTTTGTTATTTTGTTTTGTTTTGTTTCAATCATTGAGTTCTTCTCTGATATTAGTTATTTCTTTTCTTCTGCTGGATTTGCTTTTGGTTTGTTCTTGTTTCTCTAGTTCCTTGAGGTGTTAGCTTAGATTGTCTGTTTGTGCTATTTCAGACATTTTGATATAGGCATTTAATACCATGAACTTTCCTTTTGGCACCACCTTTGCTGTATCCCAGAGGTTTTGATAGGTTATGTCAGTATTATAGTTCAATTAAAACAATTTTTAAATTTCTCTCTTGATTTTATTGTTCAAAGATCTTTCAGGAGCACATTATTTAGTTTTCATGTATTTATATAGTTTTGACAGTTATTTTTGGAATTAATTTCCAGTTTTATTCCACTGTGGTCTGAGAGACTACTTGATATAATTTCAGGTTTCTTAAATTTATTGAGACTTGCTTTGTGGCCTATCATATATATGTTTTATCTTGAAGAATATTCCATGTGCTGATGAAAAGAATGTATATTCTGCATTTGTTAGGTAGAATGTTCTGCAAATATCTGTTAAGTCCATTTGTTTCAGTGTATAGTTTAAGTCCATTGTTTCTTTATCAACTTTCTGTCCTGATGACCTGTCTAGTGCTGTCAGTGGAGGACTGAAATCTCCCACCATTATTGTATTTCAATGTATTTTGTTTCTTAAGTCTAGTAGTAATTATTTTATAAATTTGGGAATTCCAGTGTTAAGTGCATGTACATTTAGGAATGTGATATTTTCCAGTTGGATGAATCTTTCATCATAAAATGTCCCTTTTTGCCTTTTTGTTTTTTACTGTTGTTCCTTTAAAGCCTGTTTTGTCTGATATAAGAATAGCTATTCCTGCTTGCCTTTTGTTTTTATTTACATGGAATATATTTTTCTACTCCTTTACCTTAAGTTTATATGAGTCCTTACGTGTTAGATGAGTCTCCTGAAGACAGGAAATTGTTGGTAGATTTTTATCCATTCTGCCATTCTGTGTCTTATAAGTGGAGCATTTAGGCCATTTACATTCAATGTTAGTATTGACTTGTGAGGAACTAATCTATTTATCATACTAGTTGTTGCCTGAACACCTTGGGTTTTTTTGATTGTGATATTGTTTTATAGGCCCTGTGAGATTTCTGCTTTAAGGAGATTTTATTTTGGTGTCTGTTGAGGTTTTATTTCAAGATTTAGAGCTCCTTTTAGCATTTCTTGTAGTGCTGACTTGGTAGCAGTGAATTCTCTCATATTTTTGTTTGAAAAAGATTTTACCACTCTTTATGAAGCTTAGTTTCACTGAATATAAAATTTTTGGCTGATAATTTTTTTGTTTGTTTGTTTAAGGGGGCTAAAGATAGCATGCCAGTTTTTCTGGCTTCTGGGGTTTCTGATGAGAAATCTTCTGTTAATCTCATTGCTTTTCCTTTTTAGGTTACCTGATGCTTTTGCTTCACAACTCTTAAAATTGTTTTTCCTTTGTCTTGACTTTAGATAACCTGATGACTATGTGCCTACATGATGATGTTTTTTGGGGATGAATTTCCAGGGTTTTCTTGGAGCTTCTAATATTTGAATGTCTAGATCTCTAGCAAGACCAGAGAAGTTTTCCTTGATTATTTTCTGAAATACATTTTCCAAACTTTTAGATTTCTCTCTTTCCTCAGGAACAGCAAGCATTCTTATGTTTGGTTGTTTAACATATTTTCACATTTCTTGGAGGTTTGTCTATTTAATTCTTTTTTCTTTGTCTTTGTCAGGTAAGGTTATTTTGAAATCCTTGTCTTCAAGCTCTGAATTTCTTTCTTCTATTTGTTTGAATTCTGTTCTTGAAACTTTCCAGTGTATTTTGCATTTCTCTAAGTGTGTCTTTAATTTCCAAAAGTTATGATTGTCTTTTCTATATGATATCTATTTCTCTGGAGACTCAACCACATGCTGTACTGTTTTTATATTTCTTTATTTTTAATTTTTTTTATTGCCATAGGTTTCTGGGGAACAGGTGGTATTTGGTTACATAAGTTCTTTAATGGTGTTTTGTGAGATTTTGTTGCACCCATCACCTGAACAGTAAACTGAATCCAATTTGTGGCCTTTTACCCCTCACCTTCTCACCCTTTCCCCCAAGTCCCCAAAGTTTATTGTGTCATTCTTAAGCCTTAGCATCCTCATAGCTTAGTTCCCACTTATGAGTGAGAGTATATGATGTTTGGTTTTTCATTTCTGAATTACCTTACTTAGAATAATAGTCTTCAGTCCCATGAAGGTTGCTGCAAATGCCATTACTCCATTCTTTTTTGCAGCTGAGTAGTGTTCCATTATATATTTATACCACAATTTCTTTATCCACTCATTGGATATGCATTTTGGTTGGTTCCACATTTCACAATTGCAAATTGTGCTGCTATAAACATGTGTGTGCAAAATCTTTTTTGTAAGTGACTTCTTTTCCTCTGGGTAGATATCCAGTAGTGGGATTACTGGATCAAATGATAGTTCTACTTTTAGTTCTTTAAGAAATCTCCAAACTGTTTTCCATAGTGGTTGTCCTAGTTTAGATTCCCACCAGTAGTGTAGAATTATTCCCTTTTCACTGAATCCGTGTCAACATGTATTATTATTTGATTTTTCTACTATGGCCATTCTTACAGGAGTAAGGTGGTACTGCATTCTGGTTTTCATTTGTGTTTCCCCGATCATTAGTCATGTTGAGCATTTTTTCATATGTATGTTGGCCATTTGTTTATCTTTTTTTGAGAATTGTCTATTCATGTCCTTAGTCCACTTTTTTGTGGGATTGTTTGTATTTTTTTTCTTGCTAATTTTTTTAAGCTCATTGTAGATTTCTGTATATTGGTCCTTTGTCAGATGGTTAGATTGTGAAAGATTTTCTCCCACTCTGCGGGTGGTCTGTTTACTCTGCTGACTGTCCCTTTTGCTGGGTAAGTTCTCTCTAGTTTAATTAAGTCTCAACTGTTTACCCCTTTTGCTGGGTAAGTTCTCTCTAGTTTAATTAAGTCTCAACTGTTTATCTTTATTTCTGTTGCATTTGATTTTGGGTTCTTGGTCATGAAGTACTTGCCTAACCCAATATCTAGAACTGGTTTTCTGATGTTATCTTCTAGAATTTTTATAGTTTCAGGTCTTAGAGTTAAGTCCTTGATCCATCTTGAGTTGATTTTTTGTATAAGGTGAGAGATGGGGATCAGGTTCACTCTCCTACATGTGGCTTGCCAGTTATACCAGCACCATTTGTTGAATAGGGTGTCCTTTCCCCACTTTATATTTTTGTTTGCTTTGTTGAAGAACAGTTGACTGTAAGTATTTTGCTTTATTTCTGGATTATCTATTTGTTCTGTTGTTCTATGTGCCTATTTTTATACAAGTACCGTACTGTTTTGGTGACTATGGCCTTATAGTATGGTTTGAAATCAGGTAATGTGATGCCTCCCAATTTGTTCTTTTTGCTTAGTCTTGCTTTGACTGTATGGGCTTTTTGTTGTTGTTGTTCTCATACAAATTTTAGGATTGTTTTTTCCAGTTCTTGGAAAAATGATGGTGGTATTTTTAAGGAAATTACATTAATTTATAGATGGCTTTTGGCAGTATGGTTATTTTCACAATATTGATTCTATCTATCCATTCACATGGGATGTGTTTCCATTTGTTTGTCATCTATGACTTATTTCAGCAGTGTTTTGTAGTTTTCCTTGTAAATATACCTTGGTTAGGTATATTTTTAAGTATTATTATTATTTTTTGCAGCTGTTATAAAAGGGGTTGAATTTTTTATTTGATTCTCAGCTTGGTCACTGTTGGTATATAGTAGAGCTACTGATTTGTGTATATTGATTTTATATCCTGAAGCTTGGCTGAATTTGCAACGTCTAAGGTTGACCAAATGTTCTAAGATTAACCAGATGGAACTTGCCTTCCTATGTCTAAGGTCAGCTAGATGACTTTGCCTTGTTCTAAGTAAGGTCAACCAGATAGCTCTCACCTTTCTATGTCCAAGGTTGATCAGATGGCTCTTGCCTTCCCATGTCTAAGGTCAATCAGATGGCTCTCACTTCCCGTTTCTAAGGAGGAACAGATGGCTATCACCTTCCCATGTCTATGGTGGACCAGATGTCTCTCACCATGCCATGTCTAAGGTTGGCCAGATGGCTATTGCCTTTCCATGTCTAAGGTCAACTAAATGGCTCTTGCCTTGCCACATATAAGGTCGACAAGATGGCTCTTGCCTTCACATGTCTAAGGTCTACCAGAAGGCTCTCGCCTTGCCATGTCTAAGGTCAACCAGATGGCCCTCACCTACCCATGTCTAAGGTCTACCAGATGGCTCTTGCCTTGCCTTGATGATGTGATCATATACCTAGAAAACCCTAAAGACTCATCCAAAAAGCTCCTAGAACTAATAAATGAATTCAGAAAAGTTGGTATTGATTTGTGTACATTGATTTTGTATCCTGAAACTTTGCTGAATTCATTTATCAATTCTAGGAGCTTTTTGGAGGAGTCTTCAGGGTTTTCTAGGTATACAATTATATAATCAGCAAGCAATGTCACTTTGACTTCCTCTTTACTGATATGGATACCCTTTGTTTTTTTCTCTTGTCTGATTGCTCTGGATAGGACTTCCAGTACTAGGCTGAATAGCAGTGGTAAGAGTGAGCATCCTTGTCTTGTTCCAGTTCTCAGAGGCAATCCTTTCAGCTTTCCTCATTCAACATAATGTTGGCTGTGGCTTTGTTCATAGATCACTTTTATTGCATTGAGGTATGTCCCTTGTATGTCAATTTTGCTGAGGGTTTCAATCATAAAGATATGCTGGATTTTGTCCAGTGCTTTTTCTGCATCTATTTAGATGATCATGTGATTTTTGTTTTTAATTATCCTTATGTGCTGTATCACATTTATTGATTTGTATATGTTAAACCATTCCTGCATCCCTGGTATGAAACTCACTTGATCATGGTGGATTATCTTTTTCATATGTTGTTGGATATGGTTGGCTAATATTTTGTTAAGGATTTTTACATCTATGTTCATCAGGGATGTTGGTCTTTCTTTTTCTTTTCTTTTCTTTCTTTTCTTTTCTTTTCTTTTCTGTGTGTGTGTGTGTGTGTGTGTGTGTGTGTGTGTGTGTGTGTGTGTGTTTTGAGACAGAGTCTCAATCTGTCACCCAGGCTGGAGTGCAGTCACTGCAACCTCCCCCTCCCAGGTTTAAGCAATTCTCTCCCTCAGCCTCCTGAGTAGCTGGGATTACAGGTGTATGCTACCATGCCCAGCTGATTTTTGTATTTTTAGTAGAGATGGGGTTTTACCATCTTGGCCAGACCTGACTTCTTGATCTACCTGCCTCGGCCTCCCAAAGTGCTGGGATTACAGGTGTGAGTCACTGTGCCTGGCCAGTTTTCTTTTTTTGTTATGTACTTTCCTGGTTTTTGTATTAGGGTGATACTGGCTTCGTAGAATGATTTAGGTAGGAGTCCCACTTTCTCTATCTTGTGGAATAATGTCAATAGGATTGGTACCAGTTCTTCTTTGAATGTCTGGTAGAATTCAACTGTGAATCCATCTGGTCCTGTAAATTTTTGTTGGTAATTTTTTTATTACTATTTTAATCTTGCTGCATATTATTGGCCGTTCAGGGTATTTATTTCTGTTTTATTTAGCTAGGAGGGTTGTGTCTGTCCAGGAATATATCCGTCTTCTTTATTTTCTACTTTATGTGCATAAAGGTATTCATAGTAGCCTTGAATGATCTTTTGTATATCTGTGGTGTCATTTGTAATATCTTCCATTTCTTTTCTAATTGAGTGTATTTGGAATTTCTGTCTTCTTTTCTTTATTAATCTTGCTAATGGTCTATGAATTTTGTTTATCTTTTCAAAGAACCAGCTGTTTCATTTATCTTTCACATTTTTTGTTTGTTTCAATTTCATTTAGTTCTGCTCTGATACACTCTGATCTTGGTTATTTCCTTTCTTCTTCTTGGTTTGGGTTTGATTTGTTCTTATTTTTCTAGTTCCTTGAGGTGTGACCTTAGATTGTCTACTTGTGCTCTTTCAGACTTTCTGATGTAGGCATTTAGGGCTCTGAACTTTCCTCTTAGCACCGCCTTTGCTATATCCCAGAGGTTTTGATAGGTTGTGTCACTATTATTGCTCAGGTTGAAGAATTTTTAAATTTCCTTCTTGATTTCAGTGTTGACCCAATTATCATTCAGGAGCAGATTATTTAATTTCCCTGTATTTGCATGGTTTTAAGGTTCCTTTTGGAGTTGATTTCCAATTTTATTCCACTGTGGTCTGTGAGAGTACTTGATATAGTTTTAGCTTTCTTAAATTTATTGAGACTTGTTTTGTGGCCTATCATATGATCTATCTTGGAGAAAGTTCCATGCACTGATGAATAGAATGTATATTCTGCACTTGTTAGGTAGAATGCTCTGTAAATATCTGTTAAGTGCATTTTTCCAGGATATAGTTTAAATCCATTGTTTCTTTATCAACTTTCTGTCTTGATGGCCTGTCTAGTGCCGTCATTGGAGTATTACTCTGTTGCTGTCTATCTCATTTCATAGGTCTAGTAGTAATTGTTTTATAACTTTGGGAGCTCTAATGTTAGGTCCATATATTTAGGATTGTGATATTTTTCTGTTGGACAAGGCTTTTTATCATTATATCAACATTCTTCTTCATCTTTTTAACTGCTGTTGCTTTAAAGATTTTTCTGTCTGATATAAGAACAGCTACTCCTGCTTACTTTTGGTCTCCATTTGTATGGAATGCTTTTTCTTCACCACTTTACCCTGTTATGTGAGTCCTTATGCGTTAGGGGAATTTCTTAAAGGCAGCAGATGGTTGTTGAATTCTTATCCATTCTACAATTCTATATATTTTAAGCAGAGCATTTAGACCATTAACATTTAACATTAATATTAAGATGTGAGGTACTATTCCATTCATCATGCTACTTGTTGCCTATATACCATGTTTTCTTTTCACCATGTTATTGTTTTATAGGTCTGTGACCTTAGATAGAACAAGTTGAGAACAATCTGGTCGACCTTAGACATAGGAAGACAAAAGCCATCTGGTCGGCCTTAGACGTGGCAAGGCGAGAGCCATTTGATTGACCTTAGACATGGCAAGGCGAGAACCATCTTGTCAACCTTAGACATGGCAAGGCAAGAGCCTACTGGTTGACCTTAGACATGGCAAGGCTAGAGCCATCTGCTCAACCTTAGACATGGCAAGGCAAGAGCCATCTGGTCAACCTTAGCCATGGCAAGGTGAGAGCCATCTGGTTGAAGTTAGACATGGCAAAGTGAGAGCCATCTACTCAACCTTAGACATGGCAAGGTGAGAGCCATATGCTTGATCTTAGATATGGCAAGGTGAGAGACTTACTGTTCGACCTTAAACATGGCAAGGCGTAAGCCATCTGGTTGACCTTAGACATGGCAAGGCGTGAGCCATCTGATTGACCTTAGATGTGGCAAGGCATGAGCCTATTGGTTGACCTTAGACATGGCAAGGCAAGAGCCTATTAATTGACCTTAGACGTGGCAAGGCAAGAGCTATTTTCTTGACCTCAGACATGGCAAGGTGAGAGCCATCTGGTTGACCTTAGACATGGTAAGGCAAGAGATTACTCGTCAACCTTAGACACGGCAATGTGAGAGCCACCTGCTTGATCTTAGAAATGGCAAGATGAGGGGGCCATCTGCCCAGCCTTAGACATGGCAAGGCAAGGGCCATCTGATTGACCTTAGATGTGACAAAGTGAGAACCTATTGGTAGATCTTAGACTTGGCAAGGCGAGAGCCTACTGGTCAACCTTAGACATGGCAAGGCTAGAGCCATCTGCTTAACCTTAGACATGGCAAGGTGAGAGCCATCTGGTTGAACATAGACATGGCAAAGTGAGAGTAATCTGCTCAACCTTAGACATGGCAAGGTGAGAGCTATGTGCTTGACCTTAGACATGGAAAGATGAGAGACTTACTGGTCAACCTTAAACATGGCAAGGCAAGAGCCATCTGGTTGACCTTAGACATGGCAAGACGAGAGCCTACTGGTTGACCTTAGACATGGCAAGGCTAGAGCCATCTGCTCAACCTTAGACATGGCAAGGTGAGAGCCATCTGGTCAAACTTAGACATGGCAAGGCGAGAGCCATCCTATTGACCTTTGACATGACAAGGTGAGAGCCTATTGGTCAACTGTAGACACAGCAAGTTGAGAGCCTACTGGTCGACCTTAGGCATGGCAAGACGAGAGCCTACTGGTTGACCTTAGACATGGCAAGGCGAGAGCCATCTGGTTGAACTTAGACATGGCAAGGCAAGAGTCATCGGTCGACCTTAGACATGGTGAGGTGAGAGCCATCTGCTGGACCTTAGACATGGCAAGGTGAGAGCCATCTGGTCGACCTTAGTCATGCCAAAGCTAGAGCCATCTGGTTGACCTTAGACATGGCAAGGTGAGAGCTATCTCATCAAACTCAGACAATGGACTATTGCCTTGCCATGTGTAAGGTCAACCAGATGGCTCTCGCCTTGCCATGTCTTTGGTCATCCTGGGAGATTTATGATTTAAAGAGGTTTTGTTTTGATGTGTAGTGGTGAATTCTGTCAGCATTTGTTTGTCTGAAAAAGGCTGTGTCTTTCCTTAATTTATGAATCTGCAAGGCAAGAGCCATTTGATTGACCTTAAACATGGCAAGGCGAGAGCCATCTGGTTGACCTTAGACATGGCAAGGTAAGAGCCATTTGGTCAAACATAGACATGGCAAAGAGAGAGCCATTTGCTCAACCTTAGACATGGCAAAGTGAGAGCCATATGCTTGACCTTAGATATGGCAAGGTGACAGACTTACTGGTTGACCTTAAACATGGCAAGGCAGAACCATCTGCTTGACCTTAGACATGGCAAGATGGGAGCCTATTGGTTGACCTTAGACATGGTAAGGCGAGAGCCTACTGATTGGCCTTAGACATGGCAAGGTGAGAGCCTAGTGGTCAACCTTAGACATGGCAAGTCAAGAGCCGTCTGGTCAACCTTAGACCTGGTAAGACGAGAGCCATTTTCTCTACCTTAGACATGGCAATGTGAGAGCCACCTGCTCAACCTTAGACATGGCAAGGTGAGAGCCATTTGATTGACCTTAGATGGGACAAGATGAGAGCCTATTGGTAGATCTTAGACATGGCAAGGTGAGAGCCTACTGGTTGACCTTAGACATGGCAAGGCTAGAACCATCTGCTTAACCTTAGACATGAGAGCCATCTGGTCGAACTTATACATGGCAAGGTGAGAGCCATCTGGTCAAACTTAGACATGGCAATGTGAGAGTCATTGGTCGACCTTGGACATGGTTAAGGCAAGAGCCATCTGCTGGACCTTAGACATGGCAAGGTGAGAGCCATCTGATTGGCCTTAGACATGGCAAGCTGAGAGCTATCTGGTCAAACTTAAGACAATGTGCTATTGCCTTGCTATGTCTAAGGTCGACCAGATGGCTCTCACCTTGCCATGTCTAAGTTCAACCAGATGGCTCTCAGCTTGCCATGTCTAAGTTAGACCCGATGGCTCTCACCTTGCCATGTCTATGGTTGTCCTGGGAGATTTATGATTTATTAAAGAGGTTTTGTTTTGATGTGTAGTGGTGAATTCTGTCAGCATTTGTTTGTCTGAAAAAGACTGTGTCTTTCCTTAATTTATGAAGCTGCAAGGCAAGAGCTATCTGATC